TAGCTTTGATTAAAAGATTTGAAAAGTACTTCCTGATTCAGTCTGACGCTTGGGACGCTGTTATTGCCGCTATTTCTGTCCCTGACATTAAATTGCGATTTTTAAAAGCCCTTTTAGAAACAGCAACGACGCAAACAGAAGAAGAAGTAAAAAAAATTTTCAACTTTTATGTGGTGAAGTATGGAAAGATAGCAGATGACGCAACACGTGTTCCGCCTCAAACTACTCAAAAAACCTTCCTTGATTTCGGGGAAGAAAGTAATGGTAAAATTTTTGCATTTGACTTTCAATTAAATATTTGATTTATGCATATATTCACTTAAATAGGAAACGCTTTTATACTTGGTGGAACGAGACGCCACAACAAGTCGTTTAAATAAACATCAGGCTAATAAAAACGTTTTTCTAAAATATAATACCCCATTACCGTCATCTGCACCTGTACAACGGTTGTTTTCTATCTCTGGTATTGTTAACCGGTCTAGAAGGCAAAAACTCAGCGATGCAAATTTCGAAATGCTTGTTTTAAGAAAAGCTAATGGCGGATAACAAGTTGAAATAAATGTTTCAATGAAAACAAAAATATTCGAATTTTCTTTAATTATTCATTGACCTAGTGGTTGGCTTTTGATTTATAACTACCAGTAACTATTTTCAGTAAAAAGTAAATATTTTGCTGGTTTTGCAAATCAAATGATATTATCAGTATTTTTACTGCAATTTCTTTCAGTAAGCTGTAAAAAAAAATATTTTTACTGCAAATCTTTCCAGTAATCAGTAAAACTGTATTGGTAATGCAAATTTAATTTCATTATCAGTAAAGTGTTACTGTTTACTGCTGTACGTAATGCAGTAAATATATAATGCAGTGTGCCCATCTATGATTTGGAGGAGGAATTTTGGAAATAATCATTATGATCCGTTTATTAAATTATTAGATGCAATTAAACATACATACTTATAAGCTCTAAAACCTGTTTTATTACAATAGAAAATTTATATCAGATGGTATTGGTTTYCTGCGTTTAAGTTTTTTTTTTTTTTTATTAATTTTTATTCGTTTGATAAATGTGTAATTATGGCAGCACTTATTATCTGTCAACACGGAACACTTTTATTATTGCGCATGTATTGAAATTTGTATAATATATAAAATGCTTATTTTAAGCAAATATCTAAATAATTACTTAAAAATAAATATGTAAAAACAATATAGTGAAGTGTTAGTGTATAAAAAGTGCTTAATATGAAAGAAATTGCAAAATAAAATGTGAAAAATGTTCAACTTTAAATGCAAATATCTCGAAAACTATGAGTTTGCGGGGGCAATAATTATATATTTTCTTAATCTGAAGTATCAGCCCTCTCCAACCATATCACTATTAACCATGAAATCGTGGGATGGTCTACTAAAGTTTCTCGGAGTTAAAAAATAAATTACTTTATCTTTTATATGCCTAATACTATGTTTGGACCGACAACGAAATCATGTTTTCGTGGAAAAAACTGGTTTTCGCACGAAAACTTGTGTTTTCTCCTATGTAAAATCTGTCAAACGAAAACACAGTTTTCGTTGAAAACTACTTGAAAACTTTCATTCCACTCATTATAATCAGTGCCTGCTCTAGTTTAATTGATGTTTTTGGAAGACATGTTTTGCCGGCCCTAAATTGTCACTTGATTTTTGTTTAAATTCCACATACAAATACAGCTGTCGCTTTATATTCTCATATTAAGGGGGTTCTCTTGCTCTTGCAAAACCTTGCACGGTGCAGAAACAAACACACGCAGAAAGTTAATTGCAAGGGCTGTAAAATATGTCAGACCACAACCCATGTTTATTTTCGTGTCGTCATATATCACTAGATTCTGCAATGAGTGCTCTCTTGGCCTTGCATATTTCGGTATAGGATTTTTGCATTTTGTGTAATCGTGCAATTTTGCAAGAGCAAGAGAATGCCGCTTTTGATAGTTGTCAGTGAAAACTCATCGAAACGAAACGATCCCAACGACTTAGATTCCACAACATACAAATGTGTTTTCAAAATGTTTACAATGACGGTACGAACAAAGTATAAGTATTTGCTGTTCAATATTTTCCAGACACGATTCCGATTACTTGGCGGAGGGGTAAAAAAAAATGGAATTTCCGTATAAATGAGGTATGTGCGGATAGAGGAGCTTCTCCAAATAAGGAATATATAAAAATAAATAAAAATAATTTTTATTTTTTTAAATATTCATGATTAAAAATTCAAAAATTTGCACTATTAGCACTGTGACTGAAGTACTTTCGCATAGCACTCCTTTGTGCGTTAAAAATAAAAAATTATATATTGAATTTTCATTATAAAATGGTAAAATTTTGGTTATTATCAGTCAGCGATTTCCATTTATTTTTGATAATACGTTGTTTTGTATATTAGGTGACAATATATATAATAACACTATATAATAT